GGTTTACTCTTAGTCTATAATTTGCATATATTATATATTACGTCAGTCGTCATTTCTCCTACAGGTTGCCCAGCTGGACTGCAGCGACGATGATCTAGATATACTTACCCACGCCATTACTGCAGGGAATTTTGGCAATTTCGAAATAGACAACACGGGACTGGTAACCATTTCAGTCGGTACGATATATATTTCCCTCAAATATCGTGTATATTAATTTATTCATACAATTGTTTGTTTTAATAAATACGTTTCGGTTGTGTTTATGTGGCAATAGGCAATACCATCGATTTCGAATCCGGGACTACATCATATGAGCTGACTATTCAGGTAAGTGATGGATTGACTACTGTTATCCCGGAACCTAGAGTAAATATAGAGATTCTAGCAGAGAATGACGAGGATCCTTACTTTAACCCTGACAATTGGAGTGAAGACAAAAGCGAAGACACCCCACTTGGTGACGTGATTACGGAGGTATCGGCCTTTGCCTTTGACAGTGACGATACCTCAGAACATGGCATTAAAGAGTATGCAATTAATTCCGGTAAGTCTTGAACACCAATAACTTTAAATGTTATATTCGAGATCAATTGTTCTGTTTCTTGTAAAAAAACCCATTTGATCCATCCATTTTATTATTTTTGTTTCTTTCCGCATCCCACTTCACAGTGACAAATGGCGGCGCCAATAAGTTTCAAATGGATACAGAATCCGGTCAAATAAAACTTTTTGAACAACTTGATTATGACACCATGGACCCAAATATTGCGTACTACGAGTTAGAAGTAATGGTCACGGACGGATCCGGAGCTACGGACACTGCTACTGTTACAATTAACGTATTGAACGCAAACGACATCTATCCGTCTTGTTCACAGACGTCATTTTACCGCCAAGTTAACGAAGGAACTTGTGAGTAGGGTTACTGGAGATAATAGCCAACTATTAGGTAGTATCTGTAGTATGCGATATTAATGTACTTTAATATCTTTTGGTAAAACAGTACAAATTCAGTGATTTATGTTATTCACACTTATATTACTAAATTATTATATGCTAAAAACGCAAAGGCTCATGGGTAGACTCTTGTTTATAAATAATGACACGCTATGGCCATCTGACGCATGCGCAGGTGACGACTCTCCCGCTTTAAGGCAAATACAAACAAATACATGTTCGACACAATACTCACCCCGATAGCGTGTACCCAACAGTGTGGCACTACTAGCTGGCACTCAATTGAAAACCAACTAATCACTATCAGTCTTGTACTATAATGTCTTAATTCTTAATCTAATCACCAGTTGTATCGTGATTTCTTATATTTGTAGTTCCGTACCTACCACTGAACACGTCGGTGTTGGATTGTTCTGATGATGACACTAGTGGTGCATTGACCTACAGCTTGTCATTACAGACTCCAAGTGCAGACTTTTCTGTGGATTCAGTCACCGGAGAAATATCTCTCAGTGGTAAATGACATTTTTTTTCATACTAGATAACATTAGAGATCAATGCGTACAGGTTGTTCTTTCCAGTTTCCCTATATGTACTATATCCACATGTAATTCACACTCGGTTTAGTTTTCTTATATTCCAGTACTCAGATGGTACTTACAAACTTACAAATTTTAAAGAGGAAATATGGAACATTTGTTTATTATTGTTCGACGGTTCACGTTAATTATCACGTAACAGATTGTAAAATATCCTAAACTTAAACCATGTTGACTATTATTGGAGCTAATGCATTACATTATGAGAGCGTAACTACACTACACTACACTACACTACACTACACTACACTACACTACACTACACTACACTACACTACACCACACTACACTACACTACACTACACTGCACTGCACTGCACTACACTACACTACACTACACTACACTACTCTACACTACATTACACTACACTACACTACACTGCACTGCACTACACTACACTACACTACACTACACTGCACTACACTGTACTGCAAACTACACTGCACTGCACACTACACTGCACTGCACACTACACTGCACTGCACTGCACACTACACTACACTGCACACTACACTACACTGCACTGCACACTACACTACACTGCACTTCACACTACACTGCACTGCACTGCACTGCACACTACACTGCACTGCACACTACACTACACTACACTACACTACACTACACTACACTACACTGCACTGCACACTACACTGCACACTACACTACACTGCACTGCACACTACACTACACTGCACTGCACAATACACTACACTGCACTGCACTGCACTGCACTGCACACTACACTGCACTGCACACTACACTGCACTGCACTGCACACTACACTACACTGCACTGCACACTACACTACACTGCACTGCACACTAAACTGCACTGCACTGCACACTACACTACACTGCACTGCACAATACACTACACTGCACTACACTGCACTGC